GCATCGTAAAGTGGTTCTTCAGACTATTAAGAATGTGCTGTGCATTGTTCTATATAGAACCTTTTTGAAGAACTTCACCATGCAGAAAACCCTTTAATCATGCAAAGGGTTCTTTGAGTGCTCATGGTTCTGTACAGAACCACTGTCTTTACTAAAGAACCCTTGAAGAACCATGGTTTTTAAGAGTATAGACCAGATCTGTAATATAGTGTTTCTAGAAAGAACCCTTCAATTTTGCATTGAAACTCTGCATTAATGGTGTATTAAAGGTTCTTTAAACCTGAAAAAGGCTCCACACTCAGAATTCTATTTTTAAACATGGTTCTTCAGGTAACCAGAAGCGGTTCTTCTATTCTCTCTTTTAAATATATTATGTATTAAGAGGTTTAATATAATAATAGCAACAAACACATCATATCTCCCCCCCCACACTGTATGATTTGAAACATTAATAGAACCCTTTACAACAAGAACATCTGAGATGAATTCTTTATTCAGACGCTTCTACAGTAATTGTTCGATAATTAGATGAGATGTCAGCAATTTTTCAAAGCAGCCATTTAATTAAGCCGTGATGAGTTTAAGGATCCTGACAATAAAAATGATGAACTGCAGCTCAAGCCTTGTCACTTATTATCTCCACCGCTATTTGTTGAGCCTACAGATTTATGATGGAGCGATCCAGCCGTCATCAGCAGGTTCCTCGGCTTCATTTCTCAACAGAAGCGGCAGCAGAAAGAACGCGGACCCATTCCCGAGTCGTTATGTTAGCGTTTAAAACGAGCGCGGAGAAAATATAGGTGAAGTCAATGGGCCATTTATGTGAGCGGCAATGAATAAAACAGCAACAACAAAAGCCGCAAAGCTAACACGCTATGAGGGAAAGGCAATTCCGCTCCCATAAACCCAGCACGGGGTCCCGCAGTATGGACGGTTCCTCTCTCAGCAGGACCGTGCTGCTCTGTGAGCAAGGCTTCGCTGAGCATGGAAAATGTGCTGATGCTTCCCTCCTCGGGCCCCGCATATGGGACGCTGATTCATTGTGTTGCTCCATAAGCTCCTTTCCATGGCCTTAATTATCTCGCTTAATTTGAGCGATCCAACACCTTCGGGGAACGTCCCTTCACAGTAAACCAATCAGGTACCATTCCAATGCACCATTTCACTGTATTCCGGTAAGCATTTGTGAATAATTCATTAGGAAAACTGCAGCCTGTATGGGCTCTTTGGAACTAGTTATATGAGAATTCCACTTATTTTACATCATAAAGTCATTCAGAGTGGTTTGGCATGAAACGCTTCGTTCTAAAGTAACGTCAGAAATGTTCACGTAGGTGATAGGAACCAGAAGCTGGATTCACGAAGACTTTAAAAAAACTTGTGAAGGTTCTTAAGACAAACACTAGATTTTCATAAGAATGGGCCTCATTCTCCAATATTTTCCAAGTTTTTTCCAAGTTCTCCAAGTTTTTTCCTAAATTTGTTCTCGAGGAAGGTTCTAAGAAAAAGTCTACGACCAGATTCATGATGTGTCCTTAAACTGCAAAACTGTTCTCACCTTTGTGGTCGTGAGTGTAGATTCTTACCTAAGAACAAATCCCAAATAGGAAAATACTGCTGAATGTCAGAATCTTCGAAAACTGCGCAAGTGGGTTTTAAGAAGAAATTTCTTTGTAAGAACCGTTGGTGAATGAGGCCTAATGTTCTTAAATGAAGACGGTCTCGTGGCATGCACCCGTACCCCAGGCCCCGATGACGAGCGCGGGAGCCGGCAGGAAGGCTGGGCCCGAATCCCAAACACTGCAGAGGGACGCAAGTGATGGTGGAAGCAGGACATCAGCTGCCGGAGAGGAGATGACGGCGACGACGGCCGCGAGAGGCACCAAGGTGGGAAGCAAATCCGGTTCCCTCACCTCCCCGTCGCCCCACTCCGTATCTGTCGCCGGGGTCAAACATGAGGCAAATTAAAGTGGCCTTGCAGTGGGACTGGAGCTGGTACCCAAGAAGCGGGGCTTGGGACTTGCATGCCGTCCCCCACTTCCCCACTTTGTGGATTTCATCCCTCCCCTGCTGTCGTCGCGGGGTTTCGTCTGGGCTTGGCATTCCAGCCCCGCCTTCCTGCCAGCTCTCATCAGGGCTCAGGGGATAGGCGCGTGCCACAGTTCTCAAATATTCTCTTATTTCCGTTATTTAGTTAAACCCACTCAGAGGAGCAAAATGGGTGAAAAACAGCAAACCAATTTTTAGCAAATAAGACCAACTCATTCAGCCTAAGACAACCTAAGAAAACATTTAAGAACATATTAAGAATTTTACCACTTGTTCTTAGAACTATTCTTAAGAAAATAGTTAAAAGAAGAAAAGCTAATTATTATGAGGTTATTTAAAGAAAAATGTTCTGCAACTTTAAGATTGAAGTTAAGAAAAAACACATTTTGCAAGAGTTGCAGCATGTTAGGTGCAACTCTGCAGAACGTAGATCTCAATGACGAGGGCTCTAGCCCTTCAGCAATGGTCAGTTGACCTCAGAGCCACTCTTGCCTGGATATTTTTGGGTGGTGAAGTTCCCCTTAAACCAGCAGTGACACTGCTGTGTCTGATACACTTATACCAGCATCACACTTACAACAGACCACCATATAACTTTGTCTTGGGTAGTCCCTTTTCATTGATGGACAGGTTGGGGGCGGATAAATTGTACAGTAACTGTAAACCTCCAGTACCGCGCAAGAGTCATTTATTAACTAACCAGTCAAACAGGCCATCAAATAGGTTGTCCAGTTTTCAGTATTCAGTTTGTCCATTCTTTTCAGGAGACTCACTTTCAGTTTCTCAACGAAATATGCAGCCACACCTCCAAAGTTCAGTCGTAGAAGTTGGTTGTATTTTCAATTTCTCATGATCCGTCCATTCATCATCTACGCCGCTTATCCTCCTGGGTTGCTGAGTGCTGGAGCCTATCCCTGTGCTCAGTGCTCATTGGGAAGAATGCAGGAAACACTCTCATAAGCCAATTCAACCCAAAGACTTGCAGTGAAGTTGAGGTCTGGACTCTGGGGTGGGCAGGCTTGGGGGTTTTAAGGGCTTCTTGACAGCTACACATCCTTTCAGACCCATAGTGCCGAGTTGTCTTCTCACAGTGGAAGGATGGCTGTGGTTTAGATCTGAATCTAGAGCGGAGCTTGATTTTCTCCTCTCTCAAAGATGAAAGCTTTAAGTGCTGTATTAATGTTTAAGTGCTTTCATATGAGACGCTGAGTTAATCTGCCAAGAATTTTATCCCATCTTTCACATCGACACAGACGACTGGCAAAGCTCTATTACAGTATCTGACCGAGCCTTTTCAAAACGTACATTGAAAAGAAGACCATCAACAAATGAAAAACAAACAGATTTCATCTCTGCCTGGAAACTAATTCCAGTTTCTTTCTTTTTGTCTCTCTCTCTCGTTTAGAAATCATACAAAATCAGACAAAGCCAGAGTAATGGACGTATAGAATGTCCTGCAGGCTAGGAGCTGTCCGGTGCTGATGGGTGATTGCATTAAGGGCCCACGCTCTTTTTCTCCTGGGAAAGAGAATGTGGTGGAGGCCAGGCTGGCAGAGGAGGAGGTGAGAGGATGAATCACTGCGTCTCCTTCACTGAGGTTTTCTTCTCCTCTCTCTCCTCTAAAGGAGCCCCAGGGCTCAAAAGCTCTTTGTACCAAAGCATCCTTCACAGGGGAAACAAGTGACTGCTCAATTTCAGCTGGAACTGGCAGACAGCATCAGAGCTGCTGACTCCTTGGTGAAATTGAATGGTTTAGGCAAAATTTTAGATTGAAATTTAATAGATTCAATTTCAGTTTCACATTTTGTCTAAAGATTAAAAAAAAGGTAAAATATAAATTTCAAGTTTGTAAGTAAAATTAAGGTATAGACATTAAAGGTTTAGAAAAAAATTAAGGATGGTATTTGAGGGCTTTGAGGGCTTATGTAACATTCGAGGATTACATTTCAGGGTTTAGACAAAATCTGAAAATAAAAATTGAGGATTCAGACCAAATTTGAGATTGAAATTTAAGGGTTTAGACAAAATTAAGGGATGAAATTTGAGGGTCCAGACAAGTATTTAGCATGAAATCTGAGTGTTTATGAAAAAATAAGGATGGTATTTGAGGGTTTATACAAAATTTGAGGATGAAATTTAAGAGTTTAGACAAAATTTGAGATTGAAATTTAAAGCTGTAGATAAAATTAAGGGATAGAATTTGAGGGTTCAGACAAATTTTGAGACTGAAATTTAAAAGTTTGGACAAAATTCAGCAATGAAGTTTTGAGGATTCAGACAAGAATTATGGAGGAAATCTGAGCATTTAGACAAAATCAGAAGATGAAATTTGAGGGTTTAGGCAGGATTTGAGGAGGAAATTAGAAGTTTGACAAAATTTCAGTGCTTTAGAATGTCAATGCCTATTCAGACTCGTGCAAAAAGTCAGCTGACATAGCAAAAGAAAGCAAAATCAGTATTAAAAAAGCCAAATTCATTATTTTAACAAGATTCCAGTAGATCTGTTAAGTGTAGATTTGCTGATCAGATTCTAAAATTAATAAATAAAAGTAATTAAAAAAACCTTTATTAAAGAGTTTTAAAAAATGGAGTGGGGGAGGCAGTAAGTCTTGATTATTTATGAAGCATTTTGGGGGGGGGGAAACTCTGGTAAGAGCACTTCAATTTCGCACCTGAACCAAAGTGAGCAAACATTCATCACACCAAGAAAGATCCATAAAAAGAATGTAAGGATCAGCTAATTATCAAGTCCTTCCTGAGCTTAAGTGGGTGCTCCAGCAGGAAGATACATAAATGTGCCAGATAGTGGGTACTCCGAAAACAGGCCTTGGAACCTGTACACTAGTGCATCCTCGCGGCTGTATCTGACCGCTTATGAGGTCACACACTGCCATCTGCTGGCAGAAATGAAACATTCCAAAAGCACAAGTAATCTTAACAGCAGCCAAAACAATGTTTTCCTAAATGAGGAATGATTTATTGGGAAACAGGAGAATAATGAATGGTCCTTCATTATGAGTGAACATTGAAGTACCATTTGCGTTTTAGCTGAACAAGGACAGAAACACGTCAACCAACTGTACTTTAACAACAAATGTAATGAAATCATGAAATTTTGCTCTTAACTTTCCTCTTTTTTTAACTGAGCTGATTTTTATCTCTGATAACTATTTGATAAGATGAGAACTAAAAGAAAAGAGGGAACCGGAAGCAGACAGTAGAACAACAAACAGACACACAGAAGGGGATTCAAGCACACACACTGTGCAAACTGCATTTAAAGCTCAGAACACACTGACCCAACGTTCTACCAACACTTAATAATCTCCCCATTTACACTCTTCCAGAATGTTCTTCGCATCTGCGCTGATCTAGAACGTCCCCGTCCATTCACACTGTTCTAGAATATCTGCCCTCAATTCACACTTTTCAGGAACCCCCTCCTCCACTCAAACTGCTCTACAACGTTCTCTACTCACACTGTGCTAGAACGTCCTCTTAACAACATTCCCCCCCCCCACTAGAACGCTGTTTATTCACACTATTCTAGCATGTTCCACCATTCTCACGGTTCAGGAATGTTCTCCCCAATCACAGTCTTCTAGAACAGTGTGAATGGAGAACATTTCAGAAATGTTTTCCCCTCCATTCACACTAATCTAGAAAACTCTCCTCCATTCACTATAGTCTAGAACACGTTCCATCCATTTACAGTGTTCTACAACACTAACCTCCATTCACTGTAGTCTAGGACATTTTCCCTCTATTCATGCTGCGCTACAACGTCCTCTTCCAGTCACAATGATCTAGAAGGTTCTCCTATCACACTGTTGAAGGTAGAACATTCTCTCCATTCACACTATTTCAAACCACCCTCCTCCATTCACAATGTTCTAGAACATTTACCTCCGTTCACACTGTTCCTGAACGTTCTCCCTATTTGCTCTGTTCTAAAACATTCTCCCCCTTCATGCTGCTCTAGAATGTCTTCCCTATTCACACTGTTCTAGAACACCTCATTCAAACTATACTAGCACTCTTCAAGAACATCCTCCCCAATCATACTATTATAGAACGTTTTCCTTTCATTCACACAGTTTTACAACGTTCTCCCCATCACAGTGTTCTGAAACGTTCTGCGGTCACACTGCTCTACGATGCTGCACCTCTTGCACTGTTCGAGAACGTTCTCTCCTCTTCATATTGTTTGATTTGGCCTGTCAGTTCACATTCTGTAACAGCATAAAGCAGAGTGTATGTTGGGTCAGTTATGGGTCAGTGTGCTCTGGGCTAAAGAACATCCCTCCTTCATGAAGAACCAAACTCGAGCACCTCAGGCAGCGAGCAGGTTAGGTCGCACACTTGTTATCTCCATTTTCAATGATCTTCCTCTTCTTCTCTTCTGCCTCCACTTTGAAAACATTTGCTCTGTAGAATCTCAGTTCTTTAATGCTCTCCTGAATGTCGTCCAGCGCCCTGCAAAGACAAACAAACATCGGTCACACATAAAAACACAACATACATGCTAAACTGAGCAGACTCCATTTTATCAGCTCCACTGACGATATAGGAGCTCTTGTAGTTCTACAGTTACAGACTGTAGTCCATCTGTTTCTCTGATACTTTGTTAGCCCCCATTTTACCCTGTTCTTCAGTGGTCAGGACCCCCATGGACCCTCACAGAGCAGGTACTATTTGGATGGTGGGTCATTCTCAACACTGCATTGACACTGATGTGGTGATGGCGGCGTGTTAGTGTGTGTTGTGCTGGTACAAGTGGATCAGACACAGCAGTGCTGCTGGGGTTTTTAAACACTGTATCCACTCACTGTCCACTCTATTAGACACACTTTCCTTGTTGGTCCACCTTGTAGATGTAAAGTCAACACAGTTTGTGTTGGTCATCCTCTAGTCCTTCATCAGTGGTCACAGGACGCTGCCCACAGGACGCTGTTGGCTGGATATTTGTGGTTGGTGGACTATTCTCAGTCCAGCAGTGACACTGAGGTGTTTAAAAACTCCAGCAGCACTGCTGTGTCTGATCCACTCAGACCAGCGCAACACACACTAACACACCACCACCACCACGTCAGTGTTACTGCAGTGCTGAGAATGATCCACCACCCAAATAGTACCTGCTCTGTGAGGGTCCATGGGGGTCCTGACCACTGAAGAACAGGGTAAAAGGGGGCTAACAAAGTATCAGAGAAACAGAACTGTAGAACTACAAAGTGCTCCCACAAGTCTAAACGTCAAAGACATTTGGCGTATGCCTACTATAGTTTGGGAACCACTGATCTAGAATATTTTCCCCTCCATTCACAATGTCCAGCACATTCTGCCCATTCAGAATGTTCTAGAATGTTCTCCCCATTCACAATGTTCTAAAACATACTTCTCCCCATTAATACCTTTTAGAACATCCTCCACCATTCACAACGTTCTAGACTGTTCGTCCCATTTAGAATGTTCTAGAACACTGCCCCCATTCACAACGTTCTAGAACGCTCTCACCATTCACAATGTTCTAGAACATTCTCCCCAAATTCACACCATTCTAGAGCATTCTGCCCATTCACACAGTTCTAGAACATCCTTTCCATTGACAATGTTCTAGAACAGTCTCCATAATCACCATGTTCTAGGCCATTGTCCCCTCATTCAATGTTCTAGAACACCATCCCTCATTCATAATGTTCTAGGCCACTGTCCCCCGTTCACAATGTTCTAGAACATTGTCCCTCATTCACAATTACCAAGGCCACTGCAATTCATTCACAATGTTCTAGAACATCTGCCCCAATTCACACCATTCTAGAACATTTCCCCTATTCACTGTCCTAGAAATAGTGGAGAACAATTGTGTGAATGGGGGATGACATGTTATAACAGTGTAAATGGGGAGGACTGTGATCAAGTTAAATATTGTTATAGCACAATCTCCATTCACACTGTTCTAGAATGTTCTCCATTTCTTAAATTGTGAATGGGGAAGAACATTCTAGAACAATGTGAATGGGGAAGTTTGTAAACAAGTTCAACATTGTTGCCCGACTTGACCTGAATTGGGGAAAACACTAGAGAGTACAGCGCCCACCTGCATTTATAGTTCTAGAATGTTCTCCTCTATTCACAGTGGATTATTAATGAGCTCTACTGCTACGCTGGTGTATTTGGTGGGTTTACAGAAGCTTGCAAAACAGAGAAAGATTAAACATTGTGATAAATATTGTTTATCGTGAAAAACGTTTAAGGATTGTGATGTTTTATTGCTGCCATCTCGTCCACCGTATCGCTGCCCCACTGACCTGTGCGATGCTTTCTTCTGTGGTGCCAGTTTATAGTCCTCTGGAAACCAGCGTCTAGGTAAAGGCGAGAGAAAAGCAACACAATCGCTCAAAGCTCTTTCCAGACTGACCACTGCAGCACACTTTGGAGGCCCGACTGGAAAGAAAAACAGTGCTGATGCGGTCAGACGTATGCCTAAGCACATCTCGCTCGTAACAAAAGGTCAGTAAGGTCATCCGATCAGCGTCATGGCGAATACTGTGACATGCGCCGCTGAGCACAGAGACTCGGTTTAGTCACACTCACCTGCAGAGCTCCTTGACCGTGCTCACGTCGATGATGCGATAGTGCAGGTGCCGCATGAACTGGGGCATGTACTTGTCCAGGAACTTCTTATCCGCATGCACAGAGTTTCCTGAGGAAAGGAAAATGAATAAGTAAACATGCCAGCGGCAAATCAGTCTGATACAGAGCGGCGAGGCAAATGGAGAGGGTCTTTCGGGTCTTGCCTGCGAGTGGACACTGGCCGGGCGGAGTGTGCTGCCTGATGAAGGACAGGAACTCGTACTCAGCCTGCTGGAGCGAGATTTTGCTGTCCCGCACCGCCTGCGTCAACCCTGACTGGCACAGCAAAGAGCAGCACAAACTTAGAACACATCCTCAAAAAGCATTTATGTATTTATTTATTTATTTATTTTTACTTCTTTATTTATTTTAGGGCCGTCATGCTTATCTAATTAAAATCAATTTGAACCAAAAGTACTGATTAAAACTTACCATCAATTAAACAACAGGGATTAGTTTGGTAGTTTGGTAATTACAGCCATGTGCAAAAGTTTTGGCACTCCTGGCCAAACTTTGGTGAACTATAATGTACTTTAAAGTTGGGAAGTTTAAAGTTTAAAGTTGTCATGTTTTGTTGAAGTGAAAATAAGTTCCCACATCCTCTACAGGGAGAAAATTTAAATAAGAGCATTTTATTTATTTGCTGAGTTTAACATACCTGGGAAAAGAAGAAGGGGGAAAAAAAAACAAAAAAAAAAACACGCAAAACATAAAACGTGTCATTAAATATGGCCAGTGCAAAAGTTTTCATTTTTCTTTCCAGTATGTTAAATTCAGAAATAGTCTTTCAAAATCAATTTTACTGGAGAAGCTTGTATACTGAGATCCAAAATTCTGTTACAAACTACTCTATACATAAAATCTCTTTATAATCATAAACTCTTTCCCCTTCTTTATCTCACACACACACACACACACACACACACACACACACACACACACACACACACACACAGCGGATTTCTCCGTACAACAATCAGTGCGTTTACATTTAGATTAAGGTCTAGAAATCCGATAAAGAGGCTGGATTTTAGCTCAGTAATCAGATTTTTCAGTGCTGTAAACTCTTACTTTGATTTCTTTCAGATTTCTCAGTCTGAGCATGTGCGAAACAGACGGCAGTAGCGGAAATAAGCGAGCAGCGTCACCACGAGACACAGCAAAACACTTTTGGAGCGTCGCTGAAACCAAATACATGCTTGACGAAATAAAGGATTTAAATATTCTTCATCTTCTAAATGATGCAAGTTTGAGTTTTACATTACGTTTACGTCACGTCTTCTTCTGTGAGTTTACTGGCTGGTTGCAAAGCAGAAATCTGATTACTGTCTGACCCAGAGTTTCCCCATTATCAGATTACTCAAGTGCATGTAAATGCACTGATAGGTTTACTGACAAAATCTGATTTTCTGCAGCTATCGGATTAAGTACAAGTAAACACTTTCAGTGATAATTATCATATCACAGACATCATTACTGTTAACGTTTGAGGGGAGGTGGTGACGAGCAAAAAAAAAAAAGATTACAGGTGTCCTAATTAACATTTATTCTGGGTATTTGTGGTGGTAGTTTGGTTTTTACTGGTTATGAGTTGCACAGAGTTCAATTCTCTAATATGGTGAAAAACTCCTTGGAAAACTTTCGGAACGTCCTTTATACTATTTCTATTCTTTGTTCAAGTCTAAAGTCCAGAATTATTATTATTATTAAGAACTAATTTAAATGTATTAAGAATGTTCAAATACAAGACTTGGAGCCTGCAATGCCACCATCAGCATTTGGATGCGTAATACGCATAATATAATGTGTTTGCTATTCTCTCAAAAAAATAATTGCATAAAAAATAAAAAAAGCCATTAAAATGTTCTTAAATGAGTTCTCTGTGGAATTTATTTTCACTTGGAAATCAACAAAACATGGACCGGGGCGCCCAAACTTTTGCACACTACCATATGCATATTATAAACTCTAACTCTGCTCTTAGTGTAAGAAACAGAGCTTGATACACTTATTTACATACATTTTTGCCACAGTGTTTGTAAAAGCCCTCCTCGTTTACAGTGGACCCAAAAGTTCTTTAGGTTCCATTATAAACTGTTTAACAACATGATTTGTTTGGTCCCACTTTAAATTGTCTAATAACTGCGTAGTTACATATTAATAAAACATGCAACAATACTTAGTAAGTAACTGCTGGTGATGCATTCACTGTTACACATGGATTACAGCAGTAGAGCTTGTGTAAATACACACACATCAACTTAAGTATTTACTCATTACAACAGCATCCTCCTCTGTTATTACATGTGTAATAGGTATGAACCGTTTTTCCAACAAGACTTTCCTGATTCTAACACCTACACTATTAGTAAAGGGAATGGTTCTATTTAGAACCATGAGTTGTATATAGAACCATTTCATGTTTAAAATGTTTTTCATAGGGAAATGAAATTTTTGAAAATCATTCTATATAAAGCACCAAAAAGAGTTCTGCTGCTGTTATGATGTCAAGCTTGTAACAATATAATAACCCTTTTCGGTGCTGTATAGAACCATAAAACACATTCTCCATCAATCTGTAGAACTATTTCACCATTTAGAACCATGAGCTGATAAAATTTACAGAGTGCAAAAACAAGGAGGTGGTTTTAATGTTTTGACTGATCAGTGTATAAACATAATATGAATTACAGTAGATACACACCGATCAGGCATAACATTCTGACCACCTCCTTGTTTCTATGCTCATTGTCCATTTTATCAGCTCCACTTACTATATAGGTGCACTTTGTAGTTCTACAGTTACAGACTGTAGTCCATCTGTTTCTCTGATACTTTGTTAGCCCCCTTTCACCCTGTTCTTCAGTGGCCAGGACCCCCATGGACCCTCACAGAGCAGGCACTGTTTGGGTGGTGGATCATTCTCAGCACTGCAGTAACACTGATGTGGTGGTGAGGTGTTAGTGTGTGTTGCGCTGGTATGAGTGGATCAGACATAGCAGTGCTGCTGGAGTTTTTAAACACCTCAGTGTCACTGCTGGACTGAGAATAGTCCACCAACCAAAAACATCCAGCCAACAGCGTCCTGTGGGCAGCGTCCTGTGACCACTGATGAAGGACTAGAGGATGACCAACACAAACTGTGCAGCAGCAGATGAGCTATCGTCTCTGACTTTACATCTACAAGGTAGGCTGACAAGGTAGGAGTGTCTAATAGAGTGGACAGTGTTTAAAAACTCCAGCAGCACTGCTGTGTCTGATCCTCTCAGACCAGCACAACACACACTAACACACCACCACCACATCAGTGTTACTGCAGTGCTGAGAATGATCCACCACCCAAACAGTACCTGCTCTGTGAGGGTCCATGGGGGTCCTGACCACTGAAGAACAGGGTAAAAGGGGGCTAACAAAGTATCAGAGAAACAGATGGACTACAGTCTGTAACTGTAGAACTACAAAGTGCACCCTATATAGTAAGTGGAGCTGATAAAATGGACAATGAGCGTAGAAACAAGGAGGTGGTCATAATGTTATGCCTGATTGGTGTACATACCACTAATAATGTTACCAATCAACAGCAACAACCATGATTCATGTATTATTGTGAATTTGAAATAATGTCCTGATTGTACAGTAAATATGTACTTACTTTTCCATGATGTTCTTTGCACCAATCTGACATGCTGTCCAGTAGCTCATCTGGCTGATTAATGATCAGATTTGGACCCTAAAAATAAACAAAGAAGTAAAGTAATGTAAAAAATATCTGTGGTTGAATAAATCAAACTCAATGAAATTGTCATAAATCTGTAACTGAAGCAAACATAGTCCTCCCAAGCAATGGCAATGCCTCTTATACGTACCTTTGTTTATACTCATGAATATATTTTGCTCACATTCATTACAAAGTGGAGAAACATTAATGTATGTAAATGTGAAGCAGAAGAATATTAAAAAACAAAAACATACTATGTGAATACTTGTTTCCCCTCACAGCAGCTCACCAGCTCTGACCGGTTTCACTGCACACCTGCCTGAATATCACCATCACCCTCAGCTTCACATCACACAACCAGTAAAATTACTTCTCTAGCCACTAGTCCAGAGGTCAACAACCCAAACGTTAAGAAGAGCCATTTTGTCCTTTTAAAAAAAAATTAAACCTCCTTGGGAGTCACAACATTTTATGTCTATTTTCCCATCTTGGCTGTAAGGATGTCTCAGTATGTGCTGATGTACTGGTATAAACGAAAATGCTAACTATGCTCTGCTTTAAGCTTCAGCTCAGCTATAGCCACTTTTCTCGCATCTCCAGCAGGAAACTTTTCCACAAAAGTAGAACAGTTTCTTTAAAATGTCTCTCAACATCCAACTTCTTATGAGGCTGAAGTCGCTTCTCATTCATCAGCTTCTTGTTCCTTAAATGGTGCCAGAATGTAACTTCGGCCCATTTAAGGTGGAACAGGAAAATGTGAACAAAAAGCTGCCGAATGAGAAACTGACTTCAGCTTCACGACTTTAGTGTTTGTCAGTTTCTTACTGCAGATTAAACGTATCAGGAAACCAGCAGGAGTGATTATAATCGCAAATAAGTCCAAATTATCGACGTTCGTCTTAAATCTCTCTCTTTGCCTTTTCATTAGCTACTAGCTAGGCGAGACTTATTATCTGTATTGCTATGTGACCAGCAGTCTGCACACCAACCTTCAGGGTTAATCCAATTCTGCTGTGGAGCCACAACAGGGCAGTAAAAGAGCCGCATGTTGCCGACCCCTGACCTAGAGAGACTAACTTTCTCACTTAGGAATGTTTTAACTGTACTTTCCAAAAACCTGTGAGAGATTCAAGGCAGTGGGCGGCTCAAAAACAATGCAATTAACTGTAAAAACAAAGAGGACTATGCAAACTGCCAAGTTAAAAATGTGCTTGTCTAACAAGCTGAAGAAGCAAAGCCACCAAGATGGTGTTCATCTAAACTCTTACAGCGAGTTCCCGTGATTTACCTCTGCGAGGACGTTCAGACCCGAGTCTGTGATGATGCACGCCATTTCAATAATCTGGTCCTTTTCGATGTCGAGCCCCGTCATCTGAAACACAAACATCGATCTGTGCTGTGAAACTCCTCAGCAAACAAGTGTTACAAGCTGGTAACAGTGACTATCTGTGAATAAACATGAGAGCGTGACAGATATTTACTGTCAGTCTGTGTTTAGCGCCGTTTATTGCACATTGACATGAATGTGTTAAAGGGGAACTCCACCCGTTTTTCAATTTTCAAAATTTCAACAGAATCAGATGGTTGAGATGTAAACAGTCATTCAGAGTTGTTTGGTGTGAAACGCTCCGTTCTAGAGAAACTGAGTCAGAATTGTCCACAGTGGTGGTGATAGGAACCAGACGTCCACCTCTGAAAGCTCCCTCACAGAAAGTCATTACACGAAATGGATGTGAATTCACTGCCTGATGTCTGAGACACTGTTTTACGATATAGTTATGGCCTAAAACAACTTTATTTATTTATTTATAGACGTGTAGGTTCACTGGTGGTCTTGGATAGTAAATAAAATGTCTATATTTGTGTTGTAGTCATGGCGACCCCTGGTTCCTATCACCACCACTGTAAAGAAATCAGAGTCTCTACAAGCAAACCACCCTGACTGACTTTGCTTACATCTCAACAGTGAAATTACACAAAATAAGAAATAATAAAATGGGTGGAATTCCCCTTTAAATGGTTCTCTAGGTGTAGAATCTAATCAGCTGCTGGCAATATTACTCAGAGGAGTCCTACTGAATAGAATCACTGACATATGAAGTATTCATAAATCGTATTAAATCTCCACCCAAGAAAGAAGAGACAAGAAGAGCGAAGGATAAAAAAAACATCTTCAGTTATTTGAAGTATATTTCATCCAGTGGTGGTTGCTGTCATTACCAATACAAGAAAGTGCCGGGGGGCAAATAGCCCCCTAACCAGCATCAACGCACACGCCAAAAGCTGATATACAGCAGCAATTTTTCACTTTATACAGACAAAAAAATAAAAAAATAAAAGTACACTGCGCCACGTAGAGCTGATTTTTAATCCTGGCCCATAAGCCTTCACTGATAGGCACGTACCAGGTAATAAAGGAGTAATGACCAACACAGTACTGACAAATTAGGGAAAAATTAACATTCAAAACATTGTATGGGAAATGAATACTGTATTGGTCCTTAGGATTTCATTTAAGCTACGTTCACATCACAAGCCTCACTGCCCGAATCTGATTTTTCCTCAAATCCGATCTGTCTGACGTGATGGTTCACACTCGTTTAGGTTAGTGATTCAAATCTGTCATTAATGTGACGAACCGGCATCCTGAAATGACCTCTTGAGCACATCCTACTCAGTAACGTCAGGTGAGTGAATCACGTGAATCATCAGCACAAACTAACGAGCAGAACGAGCTTCGCTGAGAAGAGCATTAACTCTGATCAGCTCTCAGCTTCATTATTAGAGCGAGACGAAGGAGGAAAAGGTGAGATGAGTTGTTTCTCCATCTGAGCGTCACATTAAGGTCGCATGGCCCCAAATCGGACACGTATCCGATCTAGGACCACATATGAAAGTGGCTCAGGTCGGATTTGAAAAGATCAGATTTGTGTCCACACAGCTCTGAAAACATCAGATCTGAGTCACATTAGGGCTAAAAATCGGATTTGTGCCACTTCAACCTGGTAATGTGAACGAAGCCAAAGTCTTTCATGCAAATGTAGAAAAGCTGACGCTGATTATAGTTAACGTAAATAATTGCTTTAATTTATTCAAACTAGACACGTTTAGTTTTCAGATCGATATTTGATGATGTGTCTGTTGGACTCTGGAAGAGCAGAACGTTTAGGTGACGCTGGATTACCCAACTACAATATCTGTATTTTATTCATTTCAGTCCACACGCTTAAAAAAGACGGTTCTTCAAGGGTTCTTTAGTAAAGAAATTTGTTCTATATAGAACCATTAACACTCAAAGAACCCCTTGCATGATTAAAGGGTTCTTTGCATCATGAAAGGGTTCTTCAGATTGATGATGATGTGCTGAAGATGGTTCAATAAAGAACCACTTTGAAAAGGGTTCTAAATAGCACCCAAGATGGGTTCCGCTATTGCATCGTGGAAGCGTTCTTCAGACTGATGGAGAATGTGCTGAACATGGTAATATATAGAACCTTTCTGAACAGGGTTCTAAATAGCACCCAAAATGGTTCTGCCATCGCATCATAAAAGGGTTCTTCAGACTCATGGAGAATGTGCTGAAGCTGGTTCTATAGAATCTTTTGAAAATGGGTTCTGTATAGCACCCAAAAGGGTTCTGCTACTGCATTGTGAAAGGGTTCTTCAGATTATTGAGAATGTGCTGAACATGGTTATATATAGAACCTTTTGAAAGGGTTCTATATAGCACCCTAAAGGGTTCTGCTACTGCATTGTGAAAGGGTTCTCCAGATTGATGGAGAATGCGCTGAACATGGTTATATACAGAACCTTTTTGAACAGGGTTCTAAATAGCACCAAAAGGGTTCTGCTATTGTTACAAACTTGACATCATAAGAATAGAAGAACCTTTTTGGTACAAAATAGAAACTTTTTTTTTAGTAAAGAACACTTGAAGAACCATCTTTTTTTCTCCGTTTTTATTCTGCAATGCTAATCCAGGCAGATGTTCAATTATAATCATAATTACAGGTAAATATATACATGAAAAATATACTTCCCATATCTGTGCATCCCTACTCTGAGGTGTAACTTGAGGCGGTTCAAGGTTCTTGCATCGTTTGTAACTCAGTCGCTCTGTTTTATGATTTGTTTTAATTTAAATGTTTAATTTATTGTAAAATATATTTATAAATATGTGTATCATACATCATAACTCTGAGGAATAAAGACATTTAGATGTAAAATAAAGTATCTACTCTCAAATAGCCTGAAAATGTGGACTATTTCACCTCTAACACACACAAAGAAGGTTCTGCAAGGGTTCTTTAGTAAATGCAAAGGTTCCATTTAGAACCCTGAGCTCCATTTAGAACACTTTGCATAGTGAAATGTTTCTTAAGATTGATGAAGAATGTGTTGTATACTGTTCTAGATAGACCATTAGTAAAAAAGGCTCTATTTAGCACCAAAAGGGTTCTCCTTTTGCTACTGTTATGATTTCAAGCTTGTAACAATAGTAGAACACTTTTAGAGCCATAAGAAAGGTTCTGTATAAAACCTTTTTGAAAATGGTTCTATATAGCACCAAAAAGGGTTACTGTTACAATGTCAAGCTTGCAACACTGTGGTCTTAGAAAATTTTTTTTTTTTAAAACAGGTTCCATCTAGAACCATATACAACACACTCTCCATCAATCTGAAGAACCAATTTATCATGCAAAGAACCAGTTAAGCATGCAAATGGCTCTATATAGAACTAATGGTCCTAAAAAGAACCAGTACCTTTACTAAAGAACCCCTGAAGAACCATCCTGTAGGTATAAATCGATACTGATATCCATAAAGCTGTAATGGCACGTCATCATGAATGTATAAGCTGTTATGAAGCAGTAATATGAGCCTCCTATTGCATCATGACACACTCCTGCATTTACAGTCAGCCAAGGTTACATAATCTAGAACTTATCAGAAAACTTTGACGAGCAAACACAAGTAACATTATCTAGAACACAAACAGCATGAAGAGAAGACAAGCCTACATAACTGAAATACATAGCATATGAGGTTAGTAACGGGCCCTGTACGAGGCTGACGTTGGCTTTCTACTGGAATTTTCCGTTCCACCTTAAATGATGCAGCAGTTATTATCTGGCGTCCGAGGGGTTCTTTAGTAAAGGTAATGGTTCTATTTAGGACCATTAGTTCTATATAGAGCCATTTGCATGATTAACTGGTTCTCTGCATGATAAATTGGTTCTTCGGATTGATGGAGAACGTGTTGTATATGGTTCTAGACAGAACGTGTTTTAAAGAAAATGTTCTAAGACCACAAATGAGGTTAGTAATAGGCTCTGTACGAGGCTGACGTTGGCTTCCGATTGGAATTTTCCGTTCCACCTTAAATGGTGCAGCAGTTACAGCTGGAACGGAAAATCCCAATAAGAAGCTGCGTCAACAGCTTTCTTCAAGCCAAATCAGAATAATTCTGCTCAGTTCCACTCCTATCTAGAACACAGGAGCTACATGGGAGTGCGTACCTCCAGATCCACCCACACCATCCTCTGGCTGAGGCTGTCTGAGGAAGCTGATGATGATGATGAAGCGGACATTGTTCTCCCCTCCGTTCGCCGCCACATCGCTGCTTCAGAGCCGCATGTGTGGATGAGCAGCGCGGTCTGGGAGTGAAGCCCCGCTGTGCCGGAGCCTAAGCCGGATTTGGCGCTGCTGTGTGGGAGTGCGCGTCCGCACAGTCCCGCGGTTAATCTCCACGCTGCTGCTCTTATAGGCGCCGCCATCATGCCCACTTCCGACAGCAGCTGTCGCAAAACCGGGCCGCTGGGCTGTGGCCGATGAATACATAAAGTAATTTAAAAAATAAAAGTCGTCTTTCTTTCTTATTTATTTATTTATTTATTTATTTATTTGCCTTTCACAATTATGTTGTTTCGTTCATTGTTTTTTTTTATTCCCACTGATAAAAATAGTAAAAAGTACTTATATTAAAAATATATATTTATTCATTTACTTGTTTTTTTACGACTACAGACTCAGGCAGTCGATTTTTAGATTACACATTTTTAACATGAAGCACTGAAAATATTTTATTAGTGTCAAAACACTGTGATGAAGCACGTTTTGGGGACCCAAAATACCACTTTTATTCACGTTCAAATGAAAAAAAAAGTCATTAAATTGCAAAATCCTTTCAGTTGAAACTGCAATATATAAATGGTACAATATGTTTAAATTATAAATACTGTACTTGATCAGCCAGTTATATTATTTTTCATATAAATGTATATATATTGTTCCTCAACATGACACCGTAACTAAATTCTCTGGAGTAAAGGAGCTCCTTTGGGATGAGTTGGAGTGTTTCAGAACTGGTCATCCAACATCGAGTACTTGACCCCACTAATGCTCTAATGCAATCAAATCCTCACAGCAATATTCCAACATCTAGTGTAAAGCCTTCCTAGAAGATTAGAGGCTGTTACTGCAGCACAGGGGGACAAACTCCACATTAGCACCCTTCATTTCAGAAGAGACATTTATTTATTTATTCATTTGTTTGTGTTTGTTTGGATCTGTACTCATATCAGCACTTCACAGTTACGTTGTTTCATCCATTGTTTTTAATTTTTTTTCTTGCAAAAAAAAACTCGTTTTATATTACGAGCTGCAGTTCACAGATAAAAATAGCAAAACGTAATTTAAAAAATGTTTATTTATTTATTCATTTATTTTTTACAACTACAGATGCAGGCAGTCGATTTTCAAATTTCACATTTTTAACATGAAGCACAGAAAAAAATTTTGTCACTGTCAAAGCACTTTTTCACCCACATTTACTTGTCCCCAAATGTAATGAAGCACATTTTGGGGACCCAAAATACCACTTTTATTCATCTCCCACACGTTCAAATGAAAAAAGTCAATAAATTGCAAAATCCTTTCAGTTGAAACTGCAATATATAGATGGTACAACAGATTTAACTGATAAATACTGTACTTGATCAGCTACTTATATTATTTTTAAAATAAATATATATGTCCTTAACACGACACCAACCAAATGATGTAAGAATATAGCTTTTAACGTCCCTGCTGAAAAAAACAGTACGCATTCATTTTTCAATTCATTTTCGTTGAAGTCTAATCTTTAATAAACTTGGGCAGCCAAAAGTCCCCATGCTTGCAGAAACACCCATAAACATACACTGTCTGTCCAAAAGTACCCGGACAGTCCTTCTAATGAGTGAATTCAGCCTGTTTTAGGCGCACCCATTGCAGACACAGGCGTTCGGTTGTTTAATCTCCATAGAAAAGCAATATCAATGCAAAGCGTGAGTTAGAGGGGTAGAAAGACCCCCAGGGTTGGGCTGTGGAGCAGTGGAACTGAGTTCTCTGGAGTAAAGGGGCTACTTTGGGATGAGTTGGAGTGATCCAGAACAGATCATCCAATATCAGTACCTGACCTCACTAATGCTCTAATGCAATCAAATCCTCACAGCAACGTTCCAACATCTAGTGTAAAGCCTTCCCAGAAGAGTAGAGGGGCAAACTCACTATTAATACCCTTCATTTCAGAAGAGATGATGATTCTTGTTTTGATGGGTGAACTACAGTCCACTTTGGGCTGCACTTCCACTTTCAGACAGACGATGGCGCCAACGCTCTGCTCATGATCTGCTTGATGCTCTTTGGGATTCAGTCCATTCAGCAGGTCAAATCCTAAATGTAGCTGTAACACCAGGGTGAAGAGAAGTTTCCTCAAAACTGTCCTGAGGTAAATATGATCATGAATGAAGCTGAATTCAGGTGGTGTGAGTTTCCCTCACAGTGGACGGTCAGAGGGTATCAGAACATCACCGCTGACTGAAGAGGCCTGTAGGAGCTCTAGAGCTCAGTGTGGGGCAGCCGCAGAGTGAGAACCTCAAATTAAGCACTTTACAGAGGCACATTTGGAGAAAATGAACACCACTTATTACAGATGAAGGAGGGGTGATGGGTAATCTAGACGTCCTATAGCAGCAGCCAAACCTGAGTGGTGTTTAAATGCATTTATTTGTTTGTTTGTTTATCAATGATTATCAATCAAAATTTATTCATTTATTTATATCTTGAATCATTTTATTGCATTTATTCATTTATTTACAACTTTACTGTCAATTCTGATTTATTTAGCTTATTGTGTATGTTGATTATTTTGTTTTTTTACACTTATTTATTTATTTATTTATTTATTTATTTGTTTTATTAACTTGTGAACTTATTCATTTGTGCCTTTATGTATGTATGTATTGTGGACATTGATTATTTAATGTATTTATTTATTGACTTTTTATTTGTTTATATGAATAGTTCACTTTATTTATTTATGTATATGAATATTTTAGCTTATTTATTAATTTATTAGTATTATTTAAGTTAATTTCCTTTCTTTGACTATTTAATTATGTATGAATTTATTGTGGACGTTAATTATTTTATATGTATTTATTTATTGACTTTTTATTTATTTATATGAATAGTTTATTTATTTATTTATTCATTCATTTATTCACTGTAGTATAAATATTACTTCATTTAATTTTTTTTGATTGACTATTTAATTATGTATGTATTTATTGTGGATATTGATTATTGCATGTATTTATTTATTGACTTTTATTTATTTATAGCAATATTTTACTTTATTTATTTATTCTCTGTACTTTAAGTGTTACTTAATTTAATTTCCTTTATTTGTTTGACTACTTTTAATTTTTTTAATGAATATTTTACTTCATTTATTAATTTATTGTACTATGATTATTGTTTAATTTCCTTTTTTTTTGTTTGACTGTTTTATTTAATTGGATTTGTATCCGAGTCCATAACAGCCGTCTCCTGTTCCAACACTGTCACTAATCTTCAGCAGGTATCTCTGGAGCTCCTGCTCTGTTATGGAGGGAGATAATATCATCACTTGTTCATGTCCTCAGCCGTGAAGTTTATGACTCTGAATAAATGATATCATCATGAAGTGTATCGTCCTGTCTCAGACACTAAACTCAGCAGCAGTCAGGCTGAACAGCAGCTCTGGAGGCTCCTGGGACCGAGAGCTGATCGATTTGATCCGGGCCCGATGAGCTTGCTGTGGAAATAAGGCCTCGATTTGAGCTCTTCTGGCCGGACGGCAGCACGAGCCTCGTTTTTCAGCCCGTGACACAGCTGAGAGGAGGAGTGGACTGGAGTCTGAAGTGATCTGGCTGATGGAGCCTGCTAGCTTCTCCACAGTCAGAGTGGAGTGAAGCTCCGAGCTGTGAGAGCAAAGTCACTCGGCTGGAAAGATGCTTTCTCCTCTCTCTGCTCTCCTCTACTGATGGCTGCAGCATAACAGGGCAAGGAGGGCAATTAGCAGGAGGACGGCCCCCAGCCTGGGCCCTCTGACCCACGCCCCTCGGCCGCCTCGCACCCCTGACTCCCCGGGCTCCTCTCAACCCCCTCCCAAGACCCTCAGGCTCCTTCATCTGCAAGACAAACCGACTGCAGATGACTTTCTGACCAAATGATGGCACTAAATGCCTCCTGACACTGTAACTATAACATTCAGACTGTGAGCTCTGTCTGTAGCTCTCTGTCTCTCTCTCTCTCTCTCTCTCTCTCTCTCTCTCACTCACTCACTCTCTCTCTTACTCTGTCTCTCTCACACTCCCTACCTCTTTCTTTCTCTCTCTCTCTCTCTCTCTCTCTCTCTCTCTCTCACACACACTCCCTACCTCTCTCTCTCTCTCTCTCTCTCTCTCTCACTCACTCTCTCTCTCTCTTACTCTGTCTCTCTCACACTCCCTACCTTTCTTTCTCTTTCTCTCTCTCTCTCTCTCTCTCTCTCTCTCTCTCTCTCACTCACTCACACTCCCTACCTCTCTCTCTCTCACTCTCTCTCTCTCTTACTCTGTCTCTCTCACACTCCCTACCTCTTTCTCTCTCTCTCTCTCTCTCTCACTCTCTCTCTCTTACTCTGTCTCTCTCACACTCCCTACCTTTCTTTCTCTCTCTCTTACTCTCTCTCTCTTACTCTCTCTCTCACACTCCCTACCTCTTTCTTTCTCTCTCTCTCTCTCTCTCACACTCCCTACCTCTTTCTTTCTCTCTCTCTCTCTCTCTCTCTCTCACACTCCCTACCTCTTTCTCTCTCTCTCTCTTTCTTACTCACACTCCCTACCTCTTTCTCTCTCTCTCTCTCTATCTCTCTCTCTCTCTCTCTCACTCACACTCCCAACCTCTCTCTCTCTCTCTCTCTCTCTCTCTCACACTCCCTACCTCTTTCTCTCTCTCTCTCTCTCTCTTACTCTCTCTCACACTCCCTACCTCTTTCTCTCTCTTTCTTACTCACAGTCCCTACCTCTTTCTCTCTCTCTCTCTCTCTTTCTTACTCACACTCCCTACCTCTTTCTCTCTCTCTCTCTCTCTCTTTCTTACTCACACTCCCTACCTCTTTCTCTCTCTCCCTTTCTCTCTCCCTTTCTCTCTCTCTCTCTCTCTCTCTCTCTCTCTCTCTCAGTTCTCCCAGTCTTATTTCGTTCTCTTTCTCTCCCTCACTCACTCACTCACTCACTCACTTACACTCCCTACCTCTCACACACAACACAACACACATACAACAATACACATATACAGTAAGACACCACAACAAACATATATAACAATACACAACAAACATACTACACACAACACGCATATACAATAATATATAATGCACATATACAATACTACACAACACACATATACAACAATACAAAAATACAATACACATATACATCAC